CAGAGTTTTAAGGGATGGATCAATGTCTGAAACCACCTGGCAAAACAAGATGTACAGCTGTTTTAAAAAATTGTCTGATACCAAGTATAATCTTGCAACTTTTGTTGAAATTGGTGTTTCTTTGATGGTAAGTGTTTTAAAGATAATTTCTACAATCTAAAAAATTTTTGTTAATCTATTTTTTAATATTTTGGTGAAATACATAGAATATATACCTCATCAGCAGCATCTGAATGATCAATAGAAAATGCCATAGTTTTTGCTATAGCACCTCGATTAAATGTTAACTTTCGAAGCATTGCTTCTAATCTGTGTTTAGCTTTAGGACCAAGTGTACCTTTTGGTATACGTTCTCTTTCACGCTCATCAGCTTCATCAGAATCTAATGTTTCATCAGCTGCCTATTTCAAAAAAAAAGTAAAAATTTAGTTATAATTAATACAATAAAGATTTGAAAGATTTTAACATGATGGCAATATTATACAAACAACTTCATCAAATGGAATTTCTGGAGGAACCCATATAGGACCTTCATCAAACATATGAAAAGCTTCAGTATTCCACCTATTTTTTTGATCTCCTTGAAGGATTGAATATAATTTCCATCTGTAATACACATGCTCTGGTGACTACATTTGATTTTTTTATTTTATTGGCATGTTAATATAAGTAATGAATATAAATGATGGCACAGAATTAGTTAAAATCTTACATCATTTTGGAATAAAAATGAAAATTTTGGATTACTCCATTCACGATCCATAATTATAGCTTCAAATGGTGGTCCATATTTTACAACTCTTTCAACCATACGGTGTATTATCTTGACTATTTGATGAGCTTCTGGTTTGTTGACTTGTACCTCAAGTCTAGGAACTTTTGATGTAGCCTATTAAAATAATAACAATTATTATTATTACTGATTATAATGATTAACAATTAACTATTGTTAACAGGTGGCATACATACACTACTTGGATTTGGTGGTGGAACATTGGTATATGCTGTAAAATATTATTTATCATACAAAAAGATAAGATGGTTATTTGTAAAATAAAAAATAAAAAATTAATAAGACA